TTTTAAGAGTGGTTAGATTGGAGTTTTGGTACTTAAATGCAGATGTGTTTATTTATTTATTTTTATTTGTTTGTTTTGTTCTGCTGACCACTAAAGTTAAAATTAATTAAGATCATGCTGCATATAAATGGCCAGAGGTATTTCGGGAAGGCTGCCAAGTGATCAGACTCACTTCTTGGAGTACTTAAACTTGCAATAGACTTTTTTGTTTTTTTTGTTTTTTAATATGGGATCTTTATCAGGTTTTTATTATATGTGACATTTCTAAGAAAGGCTCATTCATGTTTCGTTCCATATTCTCTTGAAAGTACATGCTGCTTAAATTGATTGTGGGTTTCTACATTCACATAAACCCTGGGTTACCAACAAATCCAACAAAAAACCCCAACTTCACGTATCAGGTTTGCTGACTCGAGTATTTGCTGAACTCTTGTAGATGTGCTGGACTCCTTGGACCTGACCATGGATGAAAACAAGGAGAACCAAACTCCAGAGAGTGGTCAGCAGCAGGGGGAGCTGGACTGGGTCCAACAGTACAATCTGGATCAGGAGAGAGAAGAACAGGAGCTGCAGCAGGCTTTGGCACAGAGCCTCCAGGAGCATGTAAGACCAGAGAGAGACTGTGTAGCATTTAACACATCTGCAGCTCAATTGTTTTCATATTTCAACACAGTGGAGACACTTTGATGCACCTAAATGGAAAAAGTGCTTACTTTCAGCTGCTGAAGAGAGAATGGTTGGAGCCCATCAGAAGGGATGCTACATTTACATCCCTCTGACCCAAATGGACCTTTGTATAATCCAATGTAACACCTGAGTTTGGTGCACCAGTTCTACCAGTGTTAGATGCTCACAACAATTTTTTTTTCTAGCTTCCAGTAATGGTGACCTTCCATTTGCTGTTAGATTACAGTAGATCTCTCATTATCCTTAAATATCATTGACTACTCTGAAGTCTTTCACCAACTAACAGACCTGATGCAGGAAAATAAAACTTATGACATCATCTCTACAGGAAGCTCAGGAGATGAGAGAGGACGATGATTTGAAGAGAGCCACTGAGCTCAGCTTGCAAGGTAAGAAATACAATTTACTCCCAGGAATCGTCAGCACACGCTTATTTGACCAACTGTGTTCAGCTGATTTTTGTATTGTGATGGTTGCTGTTGATCCCGCTCAGCTGGCAGCAGTGTGGCGATGTAAATAAGACTGAACGCAGCCACTAAACAAAGAAATTTGACTGGATATTTGCAGATCTGTTTAGTCAGCACAAACAAATGTTTAAAGTGTTCTTTAATCAGACTCTGAGCAATGTGAAAATACTGCACCGGCGTCATCATCTCCTCCTCATTCAACAGAGTTTAACAACTCTCTGCCCGATCTGCTCTGCTCGGATGATGACTCTGGCAACGAGGATGTGCTGGACATGGAGTACACTGAAGCAGAAGCCGAGAACCTGAAGAGAAACGCAGAGGTATATCCAGCTGGCACACAGTGTAAAATGCTGCAGAGCACAAAAAACAGCAAATAGTTTATTCACGTTAAATACAACGGATGTATAATCACTATGCAAAAATAAAAACAGTGTTTTACAAATGTAAACCTTAATAAAGGGTCAGTTTACACACCACAGATAAAGTCTTAGATAATCTGCAGGACACTGAGTTGATTATGAATCAGAACATGGTGAAATACACGCACTGATTAAGAAACTGCAGAATAAGTTAAATAAAGCAGCAGACTGATGATAACTTATTGGTTGTGGCCTGCATTAACCTGCCTATGTATCCTGTAATCCACAGAGTGGGGAGTTGGCCAACTCGTTCAGACTCATCAGTGTGGTCAGTCACATCGGGAGCAGCTCCTCCTCTGGTGAGCACTTGTGTTTGTTTGTGCCTCCGAGTTTAGGTCCTCATGTGTTTTGACAGTGACAAATTATTCAGGAACAATGAAGATGAGTCAAAACTGTGTATGAACACTTTAAGGAACTGCTTTGATGTTTACGCTGCTTTATTTATATCCCTTATTATCTCAAATGTCAATGAAGAAATTGGCAGCCAGAAATAAAGTTTATTTATATTAAGAATCCTTAAATTATCAGGGAAAACACTGCTGGATGAAACTGTGTGGTCTTTACTTGGTGTGGGTTTGTGGGTCTCTTGCCTTTAGTTTTGTCTTCAGCAGTAAATTTTGTGAGAGCCTCAAATAATGGTCAGCACCTTTCAGCAAAAACATGATCTAGCCTGTCCTGATCTGATATTAGATGATGAATATTAGCTGACCAGGTAAAACAGAATTGAAATCTAAGACATTAGCTAACTTAATGGTTGTAGGTTTTAGGAGGAGCCACTGATAATGTGGCTATAAAAATGTTTTTTGTTTTTTAATCTTTCAGGCCACCAACACAGTGGAATTTAAAAAAAAAAAGAAAAAGTATCATTATCCAAACACTTATTTACCTGACTGTATACTAAAGCTAGAACCATAAAGTTAGCTCATGTGTCAGGCAGAGGTTATATTTGTCCAATAACTTTGGATAAATGCTGGTGACATCATCCTTGTCTATACGTGGATGGCGTGGGTGTGCCCTCTGTGTCTGTCGCTGTCGTGACTATAGACTTCAAGAACCAAATGCTTGCTCTGTGAACAAATATTGATAGATTGTTCCCCATCTTTATCTTCCCTGTAGGCCATTACATCAGTGACGTGTACGACATGAAGAAACATTCGTGGCTGACCTACAATGACCTGGACGTGTCTCGCACGCAGGAAGCAGCTGTCCAGCGAGACCGTGACCGTAGCGGATACATCTTCTTCTACATGCACAAGTGAGTGTGCAAGTCCTCCTGTCAGCTGGTTATAGATGTCACTGTAATGATGTGAGATGCCCTGCTAATAACATGCTGCTACCTTGTGATCTCTCAGGGATGTGTTCGAGCAGCTATCTGAGATGGAGAGATCTGGAGCCGGAAGCACCTCAGAGGCAGGAAGGAATGTCCTGCAGCCCCTCTGAGCGCAACGTCTTTGGACGCCCACCCACACTCAACCACAGCTGATCCTGTTAGATAAAGCTGCCCTGTGAATCCTCCTATACTACTGATTGCCGTCCCTTTTAGGTAGCCTTCAGGCATTTCCTTTTTCCTCTACAGATCACTAAAGGCCAGGATAAAAATAACACCTGATGATGCCGACACAGGGGCTGACCTGTCAAGACTCTTTCAGATACCAGAAATGCAGTTAAAATGTTCCGTGGATCAATTTTTGCCTCCGTGTTTTTGGGGCTGGAGTCTTTCTTTGCTATAATTTTATCAACGGTTTTGTAAGGTTTAATTTTGTTGTTTCTTTCTTAAAGACTTTTCTTCAGACTTTTACTTCAAACTATCAAACACTGGGCGCTCCTGGTGCTTTGTAGATTGTATGTTTGCAGACCCCTTTATTTCCCATATAAGCAAAATAAAGATATATTCTATGTTGGAGTATAAGCTATTATAGAATTTAGAGGGTTGTTGTATTTAGCGGGTACATTTGGTGCAATATTTGTTACTGGCACAAACTGGTCCATTCAAAACAGCTTTCTGTCCCACAGTGTGGATGTCTTCCCAGTTGCTTTTTGTACTTCATGTGCAACCTGATATTTTTTTGTGTGATTATTTCCATATTTTAGAGGTGTGAAAGAACGTGCATTCATTAATATTTAACTGAGCTTTTCTCAGTTGATCACACTTTGTTGTTTGTTTGGGGTTTTGACCTTGTGCCTCCCAAGAAAAGTTTTATAAATATGTGCATACAAGCTTTACTTTGGAAAGTCGCACAACCTTGTTGTTTTTGAATGTTTGTCAAATCTGAAACAGTGTGCAAGTCAGAGTTTCTTCTATAAAGCCAACAGATTTTTATATTTATTGCATATAGAAGGGGGTTGGTTTCTCTTAATTAGCCCAAAATAGGAGCCAAGGCAAATGGAAGTCATTACTACTTTATAACCAGAGAAGATACAGTACCTGTTGCATAATATCTTTTATTTCAACACCTTTAGAACAAGTGTTAAGCATTTAAAGTGCCCCTGTTATGCTCATTTACATGGTTAAAGTGTAACTGTGGGATTAAACGCCTTATTGTTCAGGGAAGGAACCCGTTATCTGCTCCGTTTTAGTGCCTGTCCCTTCAAGGCACCTGTCTTCTGCTCTGATTGGTCAGTTGATAACATTAATATTCTCAGACTGACTGTTAAAGCTGTAGCCATGTTTGGAAGACGTTTTTACCTGTAAATACAGTCGGAATCACCTGTTGATTCTTTATTTCAAAATGTGCCAAACTCACTGCTACTAGGGCAGTACATCGTGATGTAGATTCGTTATGGACTACAAACAATGCCTTTTAGCAGCTCTGTGTTTTTGTTTTAAAGCAGTTTCACCCTACAAGTATTTATTCAATGATGGAATAAATAAACAGTAGTGAGTGTTGGAGATGCTGGATATTTTCACTTCTGTTTGTCTTCTGGTCTATAACTGTAGGGAGATTTTATTTTATTTTTTAATTTTAAAAAGCATAAAAGGGGCACTTTATGAACCAGTTCCTGTCAGGCATGAAATATGTGGAATATTCTGTTTATTACTGGGCACCGACTGTGTAACTTTTATTCTGTGAAAGGAAAAAAAAAAAAAGCTCACTCGTACACATGCTATTATAGACTTAATCTGTACAGCAGATTATTCCCTCAAATTAGCACAACATGGCATTAATTTCAAAAATTAAATCACTGCAGACCAAATTTGACACAACTTCTGTCTTTATATTTGGGGATTTTAGGAAGTGTGCACTGATTAGCCGACTTCCTGTTGCACCACGCTGTGTTAATTCTCCAGGTGTTTTAATGTCTGCATTGATTGACGTTTCTTAAATGCCTCTCCTGAACATGCTGTCCTACACGCAGTGTAAAGAGCATAACATGTATTAGTGAAGTGAGAATGAACAGCTTTTTCTACCCTTCATACACAACCGACTCTTCCTAAAGCAGATTTTAATAAAATATTCCAATGAAAGAACAGACGTTTTTTGGTGTTTGAAACTCTTCAGCAGAGCTCACATCAAGTGTTTTTTCAGGAGGTCAGACTGTTTAGTGACAAGTCATTTTATAATACAGACTGTAGTGGGTGTCTTCAAATAAATATAAGAACCACAACAGTATAGAAGCAGTTTCCACCATCACATAGTGCAATATTTAATCTCAGGCCTGCAGGCAGCAGTCAGGGTCACCTGTCCTGACTGCACCTCTTCATCAGGGGGTCTAGGTGTCGGCCTGTGAGTCTGCTGTACTCGCTCAGGATGTAGTTTTCTCTCTGCTGCATCTGCAAACATGTTACACCTTTAATCAACATCGAACATCCAGACATCACACAGTTTGAAGTTCATAAATTTGGTATTAAAAAAAAAAAGAAAAAAAGACTCAGCTCATATAGATCTACCTATGGATGACAGATTAAAGGAAAAAACTGAGTCTTTGTAGATGTGATGATGGAGGCATCTTCTAAGGACTTCTAATGGGTTGTGATCTTGTGACTTGAGCACAAAGTGTATTTCCATTTGAGCTATAGTCTGAGTGGAGGAATGAATTTGGACACAAAGCCACTGTCTCCTTACAAACCTCAGTCCATTCTTCCTCTGTCTCGTGCCTGTAGCCCAGCAGGTGGCAGATCCCGTGCGCAGTGACAACCTGAAACAGGAACAATGAAACAGTTAATCACAGAAAATGGTACTGCTGTGCTTCATTTGGAAGCATTGACGGATTACACGCATGAGGGACAGGATAACTTAAGTTACTGTTTCATACAGTCAGCGCTCCGTGCAGATCCAGGGATTCCTCCTGACACTGCTTCATCACAAACTCCACCCCAAGGAAGATATCTCCAAGGTTCAGCTCGTCTCTGTGAAGGGGGCAGGGCAACTTCCCGGGCCTCAGGTCCTTAAATAAACCCCCACAAAACACACAGATATTTGAGTGGAGAAGTTACCCCAACCCTGCAGATTGTGTTCATGTCTTTCCCACAAGATAGCACAGTAGGTCAACTTAACCTCAATTTTAACTAGTTAAGTCTTGAGTAACGCTGCACCCTAGTGGTGAAAGTTAGTTAAATTCTGTAGAGGGTAAATAAAAAGAGGCCCTTTAAGGAAGCTTTCCAAACTGAGTGAAGTGATCAGAGAGATGTACTACTATGCTGAGCCTAGAGTCAAAGTTTTTAGTGCCATAAAGGTTGCTCTCTTTTATTTTATTTTATTTTTTACCTGGCTATATCACCATGGTAATATATGCCAAACAGGTAACCTGGTGCAGACCAGTAAGGTTCACAGTTTTGGTTTAAAATAGATGGAAAGCCACCAATTTCCGTCCCTGAGTGAATATTAAATAACATTAATATTAAAGGAGCTACTAAATACAAATAGATGCCCAAACAGTAAAATAATGTGCATACACTATCTCTCTTTCAAAACTCTTATTCACCTCATGCCGCTTTCCATAGAAGATAATATGGATGATTAGAAAAGGACACTATTAGCCATGATGCAAGCATTGGGCAACAGTTTTGACTGAAAGCCTTTTACACAGCATACGTGTAAGATCTGTAGAAATATTTTGAGCTTAAAAAATACTCTTCAGACTCATCTATGCCTAATGTAGCCATTCACACCAAAGGCATAATTTTACTGTACCAATGCCATTTTTTTCGGCCAAGCTTTACACAGTGGAAAACTGATACTGACACATGGCTGACAGTTACAATGAAATCAAATCAGCCTTCAGCTTTCTAATTGGGGTTGTTTTATTTCCCTTTCAGGATGTGGAGGGCCAGATTAAGATGGTTCACAGCTGCCTGTGACCCCCTGACTGTAGTTTGCCCTACAGCTCTTGATAAGTCCATTCAAAGGCTCTGCTTGCCCATGCTGTTAGATGGTGACATTGATGAGTCACAGAAGAAGCAGCTGGACGACAAAGGAGGCTTTTTCTGAAGCTCCATTTGGCCTTTGAAACTTTATGAATCTTTTATTGCACACAAAGCAGTGTAATAAATCAAAAACAGAAGAAGACGTCCAGAACACACCCCCACCACCACCAGATCTCCACTAACAGAAGTGTGTTCATTCAAAACGTTTAGCTGCCATGTTTACCTCGTAGAATGGGAAAGACAGGACATCCGTGGGTGTGTTCTTCTTCCTGTAGATGTGATTGATCTGCTGCATCTTCTGGTTGTCCACGCAGATGATACCCAGGTCGAACTTCTGGATGCCCAGTATGTGTCTCAGCGTGACCACGTCCCTGCGCAGCCTGGCGCGCCGAAGAGGCACCACCTTCTGGAGGTTCCTCAAAACTACTCCCATTTTAAACAGCCGACACGAGAAGAGAACACAGCTACGGAAAGATCTCGGTACATAGGTGAAGGTTACCCACTAACCTATCTCCTACCTGGCAGCACTTTATTGTCGGTTGGTGAGCTTCGCCGTTAGCCACAAGCAAACTGTAGTCTCCGAGGTGACACGAATGCAGTCCCCGGGAAGTAGATAGTGTAGTTCTTTTCTGGTTTATACAGCTCTGATAACCTAATTTACATTCATGAAATATATTCTTTCTTTTAATAGATATGGTCGCTTATCTGTTAACAACCGCCTCATTGGCCATAGCGGAACGAATGGTTTAGCATTACTAGCAGAAGGAGGACTGATAAGTTTGTCGGACCGGAACCGGATTTAGAAAAACGTGAGCCAAAAAAGCAACACAAAACAGTAAAAGGTGGGATCTTTTTTTACGCACTTCTTCGGGTATTCCTATAATTCTGTTAACTGGGGAACTTTATGAGCAGCCAAACAAACTTTACTAAGTAATACTTTCATGGTGTTAGCCTGTGCTAGCAGTGTAGCTACGAGTCTGTTTTCGTCTTTTTTTTCTTTTTTTTTTATCAGCTTTTAAGCTTAAATTCTCCTCAGGCCGGAACTGCCTTACTGCTTGTTGCTATTCGAATGCTTAAAAACGTTAACATAAAACGTTATTTGAGCCATGAATACACCCAATCCGTTCGGTAGTGCCCATGGAGGAGCTTTCCAAGTCCCGAGCAGCAGCGTGAAGCCCAGCTTGTTCTCGTCATTTGGGCAGCAGAGCTCCAGCACACAGGCCCCGCAGAGTGTGGGATTTTTCGGTCAGCCGCCCCCTCAAGGAAGCAATATGTTTGGACAAGCCCCGGCCTTTGGACAGCCATCTGCGCAGACTTCAGCGTTTCCACAGCAGTCTGCCCAGGCTTCAGCGTTTGGACAGCCATCTGCGCAGGCTTCACCGTTTCCACAGCAGTCCGCCCAGGCTACAGCGTTTGGACAGCCATCTACGCAGGCTTCAGCGTTTGGACAGCCATCTGCCCAGGCTTCAGCGTTTGGACAGCCATCTGCCCAGGCTTCAGCGTTTGGACAGCCATCTACGCAGGCTTCAGCGTTTGGACAGCCATCTGCCCAGGCTTCAGCGTTTGCACAGCCATCTGCCCAGGCTTCAACGTTTGGACAGCAATCTGCCCAGGCTTCAACGTTTGGACAGCCATCTGCCCAGGCTTCAGCGTTTGGACAGCCATCTGCCCAGGCTTCAGCGTTTGGACAGCCATCTGCCCAGGCTTCAGCGTTTGGACAGCCATCTGCCCAGGCTTCAGCGTTTGGACAGCCATCTGCCCAGGCTTCAGCGTTTGGACAGCCGTCATCAGGAGTAAGCAGCACGGGTTTTGGGGGTGGCACAACACCGGCTTTTGGACAGACTGGAGGGCCTGGTCAGAGTTCAATGTTTGGGCAAACGCCTGCTTTTGGGCAGGCTTCGGGATTTGGCAAACAACCACCAGCAATCGGCCAGCAGCCCTCTGGGTTTGGCAGCCCACTGAGACCCACAGTGAGTCAGCCTCAGCCTCTCGGGTTTGGACAGCCATCATCATCATCCACCACTGCCACCACCAACGCCAGTCTGCTTGGGCCAGGTCAGAGCAGGAGCTTCGCACCATCTGAATTTAGTTTCAGGCCAGCCAATGAGGCACTTTTCAAACCCATCTTTAGTGCCAGTCCCGAGCCAACCAACCCCCCAACCACTTCACTGTCCAACTCAGCTTTTGGTGGGTCCCAGACAACCTCCAGCACCACCACCACGGCTGGTTTTTCTCTGTTGCCTAAGCCTGGGTCTTTAGGTTTCAGCTTCTCTGAACCAGCCTCAGCCCCCTCTATCTCCTCTCAAAGTAACCCACTAACAACTGACAGCAGTAGTGGTCCAGCTACCACTCTTCAGTTCACCTTCTCCCAACCAGCCACACTCACCAGCTCCAGCACTAAGGCTGCCACCACAGAGCCCACCACCCCGTCGTCTTTTAGCTTTACACCCAAAACCCTCCAGCCTCAGGCATCGCAGCTTTTTGGAGGAACAACTTTTGGTCAGCCCTCAGCTTTTAGTGAAACCAAAACCAAAGAAGAGGCTAGTACAGATGTTAAAGTCCATACTGCCCAAGGGGACATCAACATATTTGCACGGCTTGGCAAAGGCACCAAGCGGAAAGACGATCCACCAATCTCCAGCACCGGCCTTGAGAAATCAGCTGTCCCTGAGGAGGATGTTCCACCTGAAGCAGAGTCACCGAGACATCCCCCAAAGAGGCCGCTGATGAGGTCGCATGACCCACCAAGAGGATTAATCAGCCGAGCATTGAGCAGTCTTCGTAAGGATGGTGCTAAACCAGTGAGGCGGAAGGCTGCAAACGAACCGGAGAGGGAGGATGTCCAAATTCAGAGTGGTGACCTCTTTGTAACTCCACCTGCTGCCCAGACACTGACCAAAGATGTGCAGGATAAAGCCGAAGAATCAGGTGAGACATAAAAGTCATATATACTATGCATTAGTAACAAATGTTCGAAGGGTCATGACAAAAATCTTTCATCATGCAAAGTACTTCTAAACAATTGAAGACCAGTTTACTCGTCAGTGCTTACAATGACTGTAGTGATTTTTCTCTACAGATTCAGCAAAACCTTCAGAATCAAAGGTCGCAACCACGACCCCAAATAAACGTGGCTCACGCACTGAGAGCATGGACAGCCTGAGCGGCATGTCTCCCACCGACTGCACCTCACTCATGTGCAGGAACGTCCCTTCATCACTCAACAGAAGAGACACGATCGAGAAGCACTTTGCTCGGTTTGGGAAAGTTCACAAGATTATCTGCCGGCCCGCCAAGAACCTCACCATAGTGTACTTCAATGACCACGTGAGTCACCTCTTTGTACCCTCAACATCTTAAGTTAGACGGTATCAACAAAACTGGCATTCAGTTTAACTTTTCTCTCTCAAGCTTCTACTCTTTTATTGCAAGTATTTTGGAGTTTCCTATTCTACTTTATAGAGTGTAATGTAGATTTTTTTTTTGTCTTTTCCCATCATCTCTTCCAGGCATCAGCGGCAAAAGCAAAGAAAAAAGGCAAAATGCTGCAAGGAAAAGAGCTTGTCCTCCTGTGGCAGAGAAAGAAGCAGAGTAAATGCAAACATTTCTTTAAAAGCTAGTTTATTTTGGCAAAAATATCCTCTAACACAGAGTGATGGTTCTTCTGTATTAATGTGTAATGTTATGGAGCAGGTCCAGGGGAGAAAGCGGGTAGATCTGGAACTGGAAAGGAGACGTCAGAAGGAGAAGGCCAGGAGGACATGGAGTCAAAAGCGGGTTCTTCTTCACCACTCCGGAGACCCACCTTGAGACCTCCCACACTCAGCAGCACGGTGACCTTCAGCCGCAGGTAACACAGCACCTAATTTTTACTTCACCAATAAAGCTGTCATGTAGTATGAAAAGTTTCCACAACATCATGGCTCTCTCACATGTGTCAGCTCCCCGGTGAAGAAACCTTCCCCCGTAAAGGCTCTGCAGTTTGACACTGAACCTCAAAAAGAGAGCAGCACCAGCCAGAGCTCCGAGCGCCCGGTCCCATCCTCTCTCCTCCCCCTCATCGGGCAGGTGGCTGAGACCGCAGAGGACAAATACCGCCTCCTCGAGCAGAGAGACAAGATCCTGCGTCAAGGCAAAGCCACCTCTCACATCAGCCATTATTAACAGAGCTACAAAAAATAAAATAAAAAGGTGTGAGACATTTAGTGCTAATGTCTTTACAGGCCGGCCAAAGCGGACAGACCTCCACCTTTCCAAGGTATTTGTGGGGACGTGTCCTGACATGTGTCCTGAGAAGGAGAGGTACATGAGAGAAACTCGGAACCAGCTCAGCGCATTCGAAGTCATTCCAAGCACAGAGACGGTAATGTCTTTAATATCAATATTAATATTATTTAAAATATTAAATTTGACTTAGAACTCCATGTTTAGTATTCAGAAGATTCTCTGGAGCACATTTAGATTTAAACGCTTTATTCACTTCATCTGATTGCACTAATTGGACGTTTGGGTGCACAACATTGTAAACATATCTGCTATTCATAAATAATGAATGTGTAAATATCTGTTTAGGCTTAGTGATAAATAATAAAAAATATGTATACACTGGAGAGACACTGCAGACTAGAAATGTCCAACTCACTTAAGTTTGTGGGCCAAAGAAAGCCTCGTATGATGCCCGACAGTCAAACAACTAAATGTTTAAAACTTTTCTTTTAATTTAAACAAAAATTTGCTAAAAACTTTCAAATGTAGTGAACTGTCGATTACAGAACTGATGATGAACCGCCTGAGATACTTTTAAATGTCTTCTTACATGTAATTAAAGTACTGTCATATTTTCACTTTTCACCCAGTGAGGTGATGTTAACATTACCTCAATGGGTAGTGCAGAATGAAAATGTATTGGCCCAGGGCAGCCCCAGGACTCACTGGAAAGGTTATACCTCTTGGCTGGCTTGGGAATGACGTTTTGTCCCCTTCCGATGAGATTAAAGAGGTGGCTGTGGTGAGGGAAGTTTTGGCTTCTCTGCTTAGACTGCTGCCCTGTGACTCAAACGCTGATGGATAGATGGATGAAATGGTTGTCAGTGTTTTTTGTAGCAGGCTGTAACCTGGTCATGCAAGGAAATTAGATTCTTCTTGCTGTAAACAATTTTTTCTCCTTCCGTTTCTGACCAGGTGGATCACAAAGCCGCCATCAAGGAGTACAGCCGCTCATCAGCCGACCAGGAGGAGCCCCTGCCCCACGAGTTGCGTCCTTTGCCGGTGCTCAGCATGACTATGGACTATCTGGTGACGCAGATCATGGATCTGGGCCACGACAACTACCGGGACTGGTACGACTTTGTCTGGAACAGAACCCGCGGCATCCGCAAGGTAGTGCTTCAGATGAGCTGCTCCAGCTATACTTAATTACAACTTCAAAAAAGCTGTTTTGTTTCTGGAGGTTTAGGTGGGTGATTGGTGTGATTTAGTCATTGCTCTGGAGAGACTGATCCTTGTCTCCATCTCTCACTCACAGGACATCATCCAGCAGCACCTCTGCTGCCCACAAACGGTGTCACTGATTGAAAAGTGCACCCGCTTCCACGTGCACTGTGCCCACCACCTCTGCGAGGAGCACATGTCAACGTTCGACCCCAAGATAAACAACGAGAACATGACCAAGTGCCTGCAGAGCCTGAAAGAAATGTACCAGGACCTGGCTACGCGTCACATCTTCTGCCCCCGTGAGCCGGA